TAGATCACGCTTGTGGTAAGAAGGACTTTTTTGATTCCATATTGGTGTTCGTAAATAAACTTCTTGTATAAATTTTCCCATATCCATTTTTAAAAACGCAACCCAATCGGCGTAAAATCACAAACTATTTTGCCTTTTATCGCTCTGCTCTGATCGTCTTCGTTAGAACCCGCTCGGACAAGCGTTAAGTATGAACGCGGCTACTTAAAATCGCAGAATTGTATATTTTTCGCCTTTCTCTTCTCGCATAGTACGCTATGCATCAAAATTCTGCCACCCAATCTAGCCATAGTCCGGAAACCAGACCAATCAAATTCGATGTGGCTATTTTGGGTAACATAATGTTACTACATGCGCTGCATCAGGGGTCAGAATGTCGGGACGATAATGGAGCTATTTATAGGGTCAGAATGTTATTGTATGGGCTAGATTCAGGGTCAGAATGTTACAGGCAATAGAGCATTAGTATTAAATTTAACAAACAATTTTTGATGTTCAAAAATCTATAACTGTCTTTTAAGTAAATGTTATTCAAGAGGAATTAAGAAATATTTCCATTTTGGATATAAGGGGTCGCGATTTTCATCTGCTGTTTGGTAGGCGAATGGTAGCTACTTGGTACGTGAGTGACGTAACTCAACAATGTCATCCGAATTCAGTGGATAGGACATTTGGTACTTTTTGACTTTGACATGTTTATTTAGACATGGGACAGAAAGAGATAGAAAGCTACCAAACCTCTAAAATCTGTTTTTTTTTTAAAGATAAAAGTCAAAATGACATTATGTTGGCAATACAATGTGAAATTGTCAATGCTTTCAAATTTTTTATGTAGAAAAGGCTTGTGTTGCCAACATAGTTACTAAATTTTTGACTTGGGGAATTATCTTCAGAAAAAAACAGACTTTACTACCCAGTTACAGACCGCAGTCAACCGCGGTATAACATTAGACACACCAAAACACCTACCAATGTTGTTGTGACAGCATCATTTTCCCATCCGAAATTGATTGGTACCTGTTTGACAGACCAAACTGGAGTACCAAACTGAGGCGAAATCGCTTGTTTTACCTTACTTAAAAAAGACGTACATGAAATAAAAAGAGAAAAAATAGTACCTACATTAATGGCCGTTTGCACCGACTGTTTTGAAGAAGCCTTAACAATAAGTCTACCTTGAAATGACATTTTTGCATCGGAAAATGTCACTTCAAGGAATCGTTAAGCCTTCCATAAAATGGTTGATGCAAATGGCCATTAATATAGGTACTATTTTTCCTTTTGCACGATAAGTGTTTTCACTCACTTTGGAATAAACAAACGTTGTAGGTAATTTTATCGCATCCATCTCCATCATGAATAAATATTGAAATATCTTCGTATAAAGCACACCTTATAAGGGATTCTGGCGATCGGTCGATTTTTTTCAAATTTTGATATGTTGTAGAGGATTTATTTCTTAACAACCTTTAAATGGGACGAAATCTTGTAGGTATTACGGTCTTTGAGATATGAGCATTGAAAGATGAATTTTTTTGCGACTTTTTGTGTGGAAAGTATACGAAATACTGGTGCTACTGGTGTTTATCAATCAAAATATTGACAGGATATTTTACGTCAGTATCAAATCAATGTCAACATAGGCTAAGGCCGGGACCGCACTGGGGTCAATGCTGGAGCCAGTGCGGTCTTGGCCTTAGCCCATATTAACATTTGTCAATGACGTAAAATATGTAAACCTGTCATACCCCTGTATGAAGAACGCTTTCCAAAAGGAGCTGGTGTTTTTTTTTTCTTGACAAGCCATTGACAAGATCTGTGGGCAAGATATGTTTATTTGTCATTGTTTGACATCTTGGGAATTTGTAAATACAAAGTTTGAATACAGGGGTTTATTTATAAGTAGTTTTATCAGTTATAGTAATGCATAGTAAAAATATTGGAAAAATAATTAAAAACTGGCATGAATAAAAAGTTTTAATGCATAGTTGGTTTTATTTTGAAAAAGGTAAAAAACATTTGTTATGAAAGTCGGGTGATTTCACTGATTTCATTGAGTTATCGCGTAAAATGTGATTTTTTCAGCTTTGGAAGCCTTTGGAGAACAAGCATAGGATAATAACTTGGCATTCGCATTTTTCTACGATTGTGTTGGTTGAAATGAACAATTTTAAGACCGCTCCGTCACTTCCTGTTCAAAAATAAATTTTCATCCAGAGTTCTGAAATTTCTTCAAAAATGTTCAAATTTGACATTTTCGTACACATCATGATCCGCAGATACCAAAAATGTGAAAAAATTATTGGGATGCCATTCAAAATTACGGAGTTAGAACCATTTCCGGTCAAACCGGAAGTTACCAAACATTGACACACATGTCAAAAGATGACATTTCTCAAACCTACACTTCATACCAAAAATCTTTGCCATCGAAAAAAAAACCAGCAAATGCCAGCGCGAAACTGATCTTGTAGATACCCGGTATATCCGTATCTAAAGTCTGTTTTTTTTTTAAAGATAATTCCCCAAGTCAAAAATTTAGTACCTAACTATGTTGGCAGCACAAGCCTTTTCTACATAAAAAATTTGAAAGCATTAACAATTTTATATTGTATTGCCAACATAATGTCATTTTGACTTTTATCTTTAAAAAAAAAACAGATTTTAGCCTCATATAGAAGCATGTTGGATGACTTCAAGTTCCAGACATTGGAAAAAAGAAGGCAGATACAGTGTGTGCTGTTTATTTATTATGTTATCAATGATATAAAGTACAATAATAGTTATTTATGATATAAGTGCTAAAAGTGACATTTTATTTTGTGAAAAGGGAAGTCCCTTTGAACAAAATAAAATCACTTTTAGCACCAGTGTCATAAAATGGCATTTTAGACACTGGCAGCATCCGTTAAAAATGACACTTTTAGTGACGTTTGTAGAAAAATGTTCTTTAATTAACTATATTTCTATACATGTTTTTATTTAAGGGTTAAAAGAGATACTTTTTTTTATGTACCAGTGGGTAGCAGTTCTCCCCTCAGTATAAATTGTTTGAAGCACATGTGAGATATGGAATAGCGTTTTGGGGATACTCTGCACAAAAATCAATTCAATCAGTATTTATCCTGCAAAAGAGAGCCATAAGATATCTGTATGGCATGGGCTGTAGAGGCACATTTTGACCTCTATTTAAGCAAGAGGAAATATTAACACTACCTTGCATTTTTATTCTTGAATTGATTAGTTTAATATCTGAAAAGTTTTCTGGTTTTGTGCAAGAGAGATCGTACGGCCTTCGACACAATCAATTGCCCCTACCTAAACTTGCATTGACAAAAATATGTGTAAATTCATATTAGTATTAAAAAGATATGAAAACGGATTGCAAGAAAGAGCTATAGTAGTGTAGTTATCAAATTATTTGCCACATTTACAAAGTAATTATTAAGGTTTTCAGTGGAAATACAGCTTATATTGGATGAGAAAGCCTTATTTCTCAGATCATTGACAGTAGACCACTTTTCTTTTGCAATGTTTTCGTTATAGTCTGGGAGACGACCGCATAAGTTGATTTAAGGTCTGTTCGCACAGAAATCACAAACCAGTCAGAGCGAATTTCATTAGTTGGAAACAGTCAGGAAACTAGTTTCAAACAATGAAATTCACTCCTTTCTGGTTTGGGATTTCTGTGCGAAGAGACCTTAAATCAACTTATTGACACCTTTAATTTGACACATCATTCAGCGCAAAACTTGATAGGTGTCAAAGCAGAGACCGCGGGGGCCCTTGCCCCAATAAGCTACCCTGCCACCCTTTTCCGGCAAGTTCCACAAGGCAGGATCGACTTTTTAGATATAGGACATCGAGACCTTCAATCTGATACCCTACTTAGGGCATAACTCGATGGGGGTAGTGTTACGTTTTTTTCAATTTGTATTTGTTAAAAGATATTTCCGGCAGCATTTGCTCTCAGGCAGGAATACAGGTTAATAGATGCACATAATACTATATATTGATAATAGTGTCGACACATAACTTGATCGGGGTAGAAAAAATGCGGTCGTCTCCCTAACTATTATGATAGATGTCTTTGAAGGCTTTTATAATTTTTTGACAAATTTTTCTATAGAGGTTAACGTCATTTTGAAGGAAGAGATTCTATGGAAGAGATTGTCCAAAATTTTTATTTTTAGGTGTGACAATGAGCACCTGTTCTTTGCTGATAAGCCTGTAGTAGTTCAGGGTTTATATTGTTTATTTTTGATAGGCCTAAGAAGAAATGCATTAGGAAATGCTTTGAAAGCCAAATAATGTTCAGAAAAATTCTGGAAATTAATATTTTATAGCTATTTTTGCAATAGTTTAGCAAAATTAATAAATAATTACAAAACAGTATTGTAATCAATTGAAGGCTACTTTCAGAAATCAATGGAACTACATAAGTACATACATTAACTTTTTCAATAATATAAAAGATGAAAAGTATACTTAATGTAAAAAACAAAAAAAAAGTGCAAGTGAATAATTTATAGAAAATTAATGTTTACAAAACTTAAAATTCCCACATGTTTTCTATTATTTAAAAATCTATTAATAGATTGCATGTTTACAACAATCAACAAACAGTTTCAAGTATCAAGGTTAAAATCCCTGTTACATTAAATCGTCTAATGAAAAAATTATCCAATTACGATCAAGATACTTATTGATGTTTGGAAGGAAATTTATTGGCAAATTGTTATCAACAAAACCACTTGCGCTTATTAATCTGCATTCGTACCATACCTACATCAGTAAACACTAAACAATATATTTTTCGATACTTACCTATATTTGTTTGCAACTATATTTTGAAAAATAATACATGTATAAATAGGAGATAAAAAGTGGTTTTTTATGTTAATTCTAATATTTTTTGGAATGTTTTTTTGCGACTTTATTTGAGATTGATAATTCAGTATCAATGATTAACAATTTGAAAAAATTACAATTTTACTTACCCTCCAGCAACTAGATGAATAATGGTATCCTTCTGATTCATGACATTTATTCAATAATTTTAGAAGTTCTTGATGTTATTCAATTTTGTAGCTTTTCCTCCAAATAACCAAGCAAAACTATTTTAATTTTTGAACAAGTATGCCCTCGAATTTACTACATAATTTCCGAAAAAAGCGAGAATTTCATAACAAAAACATGAAATATGTTTGAAAATAAGGGTTAACCTGTGACTTTCGAGACAAGTGGGGCCCTTTTCGCAATTGCATCTGCCTCGGCTTCTTCTAAATGATCGATATACTGAATTTGTGTTTTATTTTATTTTATGTAATACACGTCGTAACCCAAATTATCTCTGGAAAAGAGCAAAAAAAAATGTATTTGAAATTTTTGCCCATATAATCACTTTTTTTCGGTCATAGGGTCAAAATAAACTGTCAAAAATCAAAAAGGTGTCAATGTCAATTGGGAAGTAAACATGTCACTTTTGCTTTTGAAAGAAAGCAACTTGTTTTAAGGAGTTTTCGTATGTATCTGTTCTAGACCTGTTCCAAAAATACTCTGAATTCTTATGGCTAGTAATTATTTTTTAAAAAATGTAGGCAAACCTACTTGCCTCGCGTTCGGTATTTTGCACAAAGAGCAGAGCCGTAATCACGTGATCAGAGAGCGAACAGAGCAGTTGAACGCTGTATCAGAGTGTCAGAAATTTTAATAAAGAACGCGAATGAGCTTGCACCGAGAGTACATTTTTTAAATAAACGAACAATAAATTCAAGCTCGGAGAACTCAGATCAAAATACCGAACGCACGGTTGGAGCAAGTTCAGAAGATAGATACAAAGTGAAAACGTTTTTTGTTTATAACCTTACTCTCTACTCTAGGTCAATGTCATTTCAAGTTTGTAATATTGTAAATGGCAAAATTCTATTACTTCTTTTTTAACATCCTCTCAAAAGTATATTTCAATAAACTAATAAACAAACAATAAGTATAATACAAAAAAAGCCACTAAATCATAACTACTCCATTTTTTTCTACATATTAGAGCCGATTCTAGTACTAGTATTTGCTCCTAATCTCGTTTTACTAGGAATTCCAGTCCGTCTATACTCGCTCCTTTCGTTCAAATACAAATTCTTGCAATGTTCCTTAAAATCGTCGTCTTTGTACCATTTCGTGAGACACTCTTTCAGTCCGCTATTTTCTTTTCGGCACTTGACTACCATCAACAAACCGTTGTCTTTACAGCAATCGGTGAAATCCTCAACTTCTTTTACACATTTTTCGTCGCGGGCAATGTCGCGCATTTTCTTTGGTATCAGCACGTCCATTTCGACTCTTCGTAGGGATTTATCGTTAGGGTCTCCTGCAATATTATTGGAAAATTAATAATTTAATGTACCTTCTAAAGCAGGCCATAATACCTAAGCCGTGCGGGCCTCCGCCCATTTTTGGCGATAACATTGTACGAGTTTCGTGAGCCATTCTCACTTTATTTATTTATGTTATTAGTTATTAATGATTATTACACAAAATTGGGAAAATCAAATAATTTTGATTTTGGTGCATAACCATAACCTCAAATGGGACACACAACACAAGCGAAGTGATAGCGATTTCCATTTGTTGCTCTAATGTAGCACTGGAATTTTCTGGTGCTATCAAAACCTCGCTCTAGTGCAATTTAATTGAAAGCCAAATTGGCTCAGTTGATAGTGTAAGTCACGTTGTCTTTGTCAGATGAAGACAAAATTATTGAAACCAGTGAACTAAATTCCACTCTGATTTTAGCCGCTTTCCAGCTGTGTGTTTCAAGCACGGTGCAGCATAGTGTTCTGTGTTTGAAACACGAAAGTTAGCAGCTCTCGAACCGTAGTACGGCAGGAATACGAACATGCGCTTGAAGCATTTGCGCGCGCAAAAGCTCGATTGCGTACTCAAAAGCGTCAGCTGGAAAGCGGCTTTTTATTCATATTTACTCCAATTGTGATTTTTATACTCACGTCAAGTTATCGAAAGTCCCCTAAAGTCTAGTACTCATAACTGCGAAATTCGCATTTTTTTGACATTGCTTCGACAATTTGACGTTTAATACACGCAGAAAGCGTCAAATTGCAAACGTCAATTGCCAACGGAACCCACCCTTATTTAGGCGGCGTTCCGTATCTTAACCAGAGTTACCGACTGGTATGGAGCGGTTTGTTTATGGTGACAGTCTGGTTCCTGATTATGCGGTTTATATGTGGAACCGCGTTTCATAACCTAATCAGATTTCAGGGGCGCGTTCAGATTGAAGAGTCTGGGCGACGTCCAGTGCAGAGCGTACCCGATAGAGAGTGCACTCCGAGTGTGCCTGGCGATTCGCCCAATCTGAACGGCCAAGACCACAGCCCCCTACATTTAACAAGCCATAAAGTTAAAAAGGCAACACCGCAATCTTACCGCCAAGTGGTGCTGGTGGTGTTTGTTTGTATAAATATATATTTTTTATTTTATTAATATGAATCACAAAAAATACATAATTTATTGTACTAAAGGGCCAAAAACAGTAATTTAATGAATAATTTAACTATTTGTGTAAATAAGAACAGTAAATAATTGATTTAAATGAATATATATCTAGAGTCTAAAGTGTTATAGGCCTATGTTTCAGTATGTCTTTTGAAAATCTAACTTTTTCTTTCTTCGGGATTTTTTCGGAAGGCAAGTCCATTCAAATACTTGAGCTGATTTTCGAAAATAAGAGGTACCTGGTACCCAAGAATCGTAAACTCTACAGGATTGCTCAATCGGCTAAATTTGTTCACAATTGCTGTGACGTCACGCGCATGCCGGATTTTCAAGATGGCCGCTGATACGAATATGATGTTTAGTTTGTGCTGACAACTATTTTATCGTAAATTCGGATTTATCTAGTGTTATAAGTGTAAATTTAAAGTTTCATTTAATGTGTGTATGCATAAAAGACTCGTGGCTGAAAATACTCGCGAAAACCCCAAGCATTTTCTGGTTTTATAATACTGGATTTGTTGTATCAGGACATCGCTCTTTTATTTGTGTGTATTGCTAGTTAGTATTTCCTAGTCAAGCATTTGTTTTGCTTTTTTTTTTATAAATCAAATATCTACTTAGTTGTAAGTTTCCTTTGCATGTAATTACTAATAAAAATTAGGGTTTGTGAAGAGTGAATAAATAAATATGTAAATAAATTCCTTTACTGGCGCGTTTACTATGAAAACGCATGGAAAATATGGGAAACTTGCAATGTTTTTCTGGAATATGATTATGAGAATCTAAATTAGGTATCACTATTTGGCTTTGTGAAATAAGCTCACTTTGAATGTCCATATTAAATCGTTCTAGTACCTATTAAATTAATGAATAATAATTGAGAAGTACCTAGGTAGGGTCAGTAAAAAATAAAGTACACTATTGCAACCCCGTTTCGCTTATATTTTGATATTGAAATGCAAAAATTAAACCGGCTCGGCACTCCACATTTGGTTTTCTACTGTTTCTCAACTGTAGTCAATTGTGCCCGTTTTGTGCTCAATTGTGCCAGTATTTATGCGAATTGTGCTCATTTTCATACACAAAAAAAAACATTGAAACGAATCCGGGGGCCAGCTTGACTCCAGCCCTTCGTTTTTTTGACTTTTTGGCAATATGTTTGGCTAATTGATAAACAAAAGCAAACAAACTCGTCGTTCTAATTAGCAATTAGCCAACCACTCAAGCCTCAAGGACACAAGCTTTTGAAGTCTGCTAGTTTTAAAATCAATAAATTAATTACAAAATACAGTTTTCAAAGGAAATAACCTCAAAATAACAATTTTTCACGTTTGAAAATGCAAGGATAGTGCACTGTCATAAAAAACACAAACCGATCAAGGACTGCGTGACGTCATTCGCATACCGCCATCTTCGATGTTTTTATGAACGTTTGTCTTATGGGATTGAGCAATCCTGTAGAGTTTACGATTCTTGCCTGGTACCTACTTTTAAGAGTTGGACGTTTTAGTTTGAACTCTCGAACTACGCCTTTATCCTTGTTTGTTTCAAATCTAATTATTTCGGTTTCTTCAAAATGTTTACAACACACCACAGAATTTTTCGTTATTGTATAATCTCGGGTATAATTGTCTTGGTGTATTGCTTTCATCCACATTTTTTGCACTTCAGAATTTTTTTGGAAATAAAAATGTTTGCATTTCTTCAGTTTTTAAGTAACTCTTAATAGTTCGATTTGCACCCAGGAACACAGTAGTTTCATGGCATCTGGGAACAAGTTTAAATATCTTAGGTAATATATCGAGACCTATGCTCTTGCAGACAAATATTAATATTGTTTTTATTGTTTTACCTTACCTTACCTTCATTTTTGCTCCTGACTGGCGGCTAGACATAGGATCGCGATCCAATGTTGCCAAATCCTCCTTTCATAAAGCGCCAAATTTAAAATAGATTTATATTGCGGATAATGTTACAATAATAATTAAAGGTTAATTTCTGTTATACAACAAATAAATTCTCGCATGATTAGTGGGTAATAAATTAATCCTATTATAGATATTTATGTTATAAGGATCATAATTACGATCATTATGTTATTAGCCGTGAATATTATCAGACAAGGCGTCAGCCGAGTCTGATGATAATACGGCGTGTGCCATAATGATTGTTAATGATCCAAATTTCATACAATATTTTATATTCCAGAAATTGTAAATTATTTTAATCGTTAAATGTTGTCTTCAATAAATTTTTCATATTTTTGCCTACTAATGGGTAGTTGCACCAACACTTTTTAATTTTCGTTTAACAGTAAACTTGGTTTAAACCAAAGAAATCCATTGTACCGTTTTTTAAAGAAAGTTTAATTTGATTTGAACTTGGTTTAACTTAAACGGTCATCTTTGATGGTTTAAGGAGAAGTTTTACTATTGAACGCACAGAAGGGAAATTCGTAGTGTAATGACATGCCGACTGTTGTTGTTTACGGTTATTTTCATGTTGTGAGGTTAAGTATAGTGCTAAACAGTGTTGCCAACGGAAAGTTATCAAAATGCTCCCCATTTGTAGTGAAAACGCTCACATTGTGCTCACATGTACTAAAAATAACGTCAATGTCAAAATGTCAATAGACACTTTAAGTTTGACCAACCACGTTAACATAATCTTTAAACGTAAACCCTATTTTTTACTATAGCGTCGAGTGATCGTCGGTACTCACAAATCAGTTTAAGTTAAATTTTCACGTAAACGTTAACGTTATATCTCACAATCATGACCTAACCTCTAAATTTTGTTGTGAAAAGGACAAATTAGGAATAATTTTTCGTATTTTGATTATTTTGGATTACATGACAACTTTTTTTAAGGTTTAAATACATTTGGCAAGGGTCGACACCGGCAATCTGGCTTTCAGGCCCACTCGGTTTAACGAACGTTTACGGATAAGGTATACGCAAAGACCCGTTAAATAACGTGACACGTAGCACGCTATTTTTGGTGAAAAGAAACTGCGCAAGCGCAGCTGTCAAATCCTACGTTAGCGTTAACGTATTTTGTCTAACTTAGGGTGGGTATTATAAAACTACTTTGAGAGTTAACTTTAAGTTAACTTCATGAATTACATGTAATTCAAAAAGTTAACTTTAAGTTAACTGTCAAAGCAGTTTTATAATACCCGCCCTTAAAGTGTCTAAGGGCGGGTATTATAAAACTACTTTGAGAGTTAACTTAAAGTTAACTTCTGAAATTACATGTAATTCAAAAAGTTAACTTCAAGTTAACTGTCAAAGCAGTTTTATAATACCCGCCCTAATAGTTTTCGAGTTTTCCAGTATTAAGTATGACATTTGACATTTGACTACGGGATCACCAGGCTGATGTACATTATTGTCTTTTTTTCAATCGTGTTCATTAGAAAAAAATAAATAACAAACAGCTGGTGAACGGCTGTTGCAATCCAAGGAGAATACACACTCTAATGCCTCATTCTGACTTGCGCGAAATTCGCTCTTTTTTGACATTCCCTGCGTTTTTATTCTCATCTAATTTTACTGATGGATCCACCATTCTATGTCGGTCATTGTCATTTTCCATTCACTAAACGAAGATAGCTAACTCATCGGTGAAGTCACCGATTAAGGGCGGCTTCTCATGACCATAATTTGACATTTATGGCGTGACAGCGTACCTGAATGCAGAATTCTGATTGGCCAAAATCCCGCCATATTGGATAGGCTGACAATCTGCCGCAGATACGCCAAAAGTTGAGCAAAGTTCAACTTTTCGCGTAAAAATTCAGCGTTTTTAGATGAGGTTAAGGCTGCAACCATTTCGTTTTTTTGATTTTTGTGATTTACAGTCCATATTTGTAACTATTTGGAACTGAAGCAAAAACAAATACAAATTTGTACAATCAAAACTCAAAGAATTATTTCCAAATTTAGGAAAAAAATATAATTTTGACATACGCGGCGGCGTAAATTCTCCACTCCATGTGAATGTTGCGCCAAAATTCACATATTCAGCATTTGCGCCAGTTATGTCAAGTTTACGCTCATGAGAAGCCGGCCTTAGAATAAAAAAGAGGAGATATCTTCGACAATTTGACGTTTTATGCGTGTATCAAACGTCAATTTGTCGATGCAATGTCAAAAAAGAACGAATTTCGCGCAAGTGAAAATGGGGCATAAGGAGTGCTTATCAGCCTCGTTTTTGGTAATCGCCGCCATATTGGTGTGATACCATTTCCGACGTCATAACTAAGTCGTCAGCTGTTTAAACAGCCTACGTCAAGGCAAGAAATGACATTCTATCTACGTCACAACTGGTATTTTGGCGTGGGGGGGATTTGTTACACAGAGACCCTATGAGAATAGGTCATCCTGTAGTAGTAGTGAGTGTGTATCATCCTTGAATGGAATCAGCGTTTCTAAAACGGCCTCTTGACAATCTTGGCACGTGACGTGACATACATAGTTCTTTTCTAAAAAGTTGGGCGCTTGCTCTTTGCTATGCCACAAGTTATGACATGGCTCTCGTGTTGGGACGAATTTAATTTAATTTTTATTTTTTTCGGTTAATAAATACCAAAAATGCCCACAAAATGCTCACATCTGGCCAATGCTCCCATTTTTACCCCCAGATATATCAAATGCTCACAAATGTGAGCAAATGCTCACACATTGGTAACACTGGTGCTAAATAAAATAAATAAAACAAATTTCTGTTAATAAATAATTATTAGGAGAATTATTAAAATGAACATTGATTACGAAGACATTTTTGACGACGACTTAGAAATCCTTGAAATAATCCAAAATGGGATTCCAAGGAGAGTCATCCAGCGCAAGAATCATTTCAATGAAATGAGCCCCTATACATTCTTCCGCAAATTTCGTCTTTATAAAGACACTGCATTGCGTGTTTTGGAACAAATAGAGCCAGAACTTGAATATCCCAATAATATGTAAGTAGAAGCTAAACAAAATACTTGAGAATATATGTGTAAGTAGGTATACTTTGCTTAAGCAAAAGCTAGGATCTTACTACTTAAGCAAGAGTAAACCTAATGAAATATCAATTTTAATCAGGTATGCTGATATATATTCTAGGAACAATAGTGTATCTCCTATCAACCAGTTTTTGATTACATTGAGATATTATCCTACTGGGGGCCATCTAAACTTTTTAGCTGATTTTGGAGGTATGGATACTTCTACAGTATCGAGAATAATTGTCCGAGTGTCAGAAGCAATTGCAAGGCTTTACCCTCAATATATTGATATGCCCCAACCACAAAATATTATAGATGAGCAAATTAAGTTCCATGACATTGCTCGATTTCCAAGAGTTCTTGGAGTTGTCGATGGAACACATATTAAGATACAAAATCCAGGTATGCTTACTGTTGATGAGAAAACTCAATAATTTGCTATCAAGAGACTAGCTAATTTTAAGTAAACAGAAAATTTAAAGCCTTATCATTTCTTGGGAACACCCTGTTTTATTTGAGATTGATTTTACTATGAATGTTTGTACACTTGCATAAGGTCAATCCAACAAAAATTGTAGGCGTAAAGATTTGTAAAACGCAATTATTTACTTTGAATGTTCTGTCTAAAAAAAAAAACCATCACCTAGGTACTTAGCAGTCTCAAATATTTTAGAAAATAGCGAATTTGTTATGATCTACTATTTTTTAAGATATTTGAATCTATCTTTCGTTCAAATTAAAAAATAGAGCGTGATTGATTATTGTTTTATATCCCTTGACTTTTGGCTTTAAACAAGATAGAACATAGAACTAGGAAAAAACATTAATTACATTTGCAATATTTTTGCTTTATTAGGTGGAGATGATGGGGAAGTATTTAGAAACCGCAAGGGTTATTTTTCTATCAATACCTACTCAAGTAGTATGTGATGCTGATATGAAATTTGTGGATGTTGTAGCAAGATGGCCTGGATCTGCACATGATGCTACGGTCTTTATGAATAGTAGAATATGTGCACAATTCGAAAACAGACAATATCGAAATGGTTTGCTTCTGGGTTAGTATGAATATTTTTAATACCTACCATTACTTTCAAAAGCTTCTGTCACCAATGCTTAGTTATAAAAATAATTAACAGAAAGGATTCTTACATGTTTTATGATAATAAAATAGAGCTCAGTTACTCAATTCTGAAATTTTAGGAGACAGTGGCTATCCGTTACTACCATTTTTGTTGAACCCCTCGAAAATGCAGTCACAGACCCTCAACAATTATACAATGAATCTTTCATCAGAATCAGAAACATAATTGAAAGAGCAATCGGAGTGTGGAAAAGTCGATTTCCATGCTTAGCATATGGCATGCGCATAAAAACACAAACTGCTTTGACTGTAATAATAGCCACTAGTGTCCTACATAATATCGCTAGGGCGATGAACGAACCAGAACCCCCTGTATTGAATGCAGAAAGACTGAATTATTTTATCGACATTGGTCAAATGGAATATCGAGTAGGTCGTTTAAATATTCCAGCAGCAGCACACCCGATTCAAAATGATATTGTTAATAACTACTTTGGAGGCATTTAAAATAATAAGAAAATAAAATTAACTTCATATTTTTGATCCAGTTTTTTATTTGGTAAATTCTGAATACACAAAAAAATAGCTGGCAAAATTTATAAATACAGTCTTATAACACATTGGTACAAATCGAGGTACAAAAACATAGAAACTAGGATCAGGGTTTTCCCATATAAATGTTCACCCACCCCATGTGATAATATAGATTGTGTTCCATTCAAGGAAGTTAACAAGCTGCCAAAATTTTATATTTACAATAAAAATGAATTTTTAACTCGATGTTTAATTAAAAATTGTCATGATTCAGAAGTAAACAAAACTTTGACAATTTTTAATAACTTTTACTTTTAAAATAGCCCTGTTCCAGGTGGGTGAACATGTATAGGAGAAAACCCCGTAGCTACCTAATTAAGGGATTTCGGTTCAGACGAACACTGATGAAACTTCTATTCCAGTTGCTTTTCCCTTTGGATTTGGAGAGTTAGCAGCTCCACTCTGAGCTCATGTTCTTTCAACTCTACTTTTATTTGGTTTTGCAACACTTGTTTTTGATAGTTTGCAATTTCTAGTCTCTCGCTTACTAATTTATCATATTTTTCTGATAAATCAGAGGCTGCCAATGTTTTCACAAATATTCTAGGCCTTCGCCTGGATGCTGGGTGTTGCCTAAAAATGAAAGGAAAAAATTATTTCAACGTGAGATAGCAAGACAGACTGTACAAGGTAACAATTTCGAAATTGGAAATAGAATATATGGCATCTCCAAAATAAAAAACATAAATACCAACAGTGACTCAGGAGTATAAGCGAGAATGAAACAGGTTTGAGGGTTCAACTATTTTACTTGTTTGAGATACCTACCACTTGTTTGTAAAAACTTTAAGCATTATATTATATACTTACTAGCATTGACTCTGGATTGAGTGCACTGTCTGTGGCTGATTTCAAATCTTGAACTGTGTAGCGTTGCCAGTTCTTTGATTGATTTTGTTTCAATTTTTGTGTTTCACTTTCCATTGACGTCGTTGCTTTTCTCTAAAAAAAATATTTTTTTTCTATGATTACATTATCTAATATTTGGCTAGCTTGTAGCTGTGATGGTAGTACCTAACACTGACAAGGTCTTTTAAAATTATGATGAGAATATTATAATTATTATCCTGTACTTAACAAACAAAATGAGGCATTGGCCCAGACCAATATGATGTGATCTAAAAACTACATACCTTTTTTTCTTCTGGTTTTCCTTGTGAGGCTTTCTTTTCCTCAACGGTATCCTCAAACTCAAAAATACTATCTTCATGATCATTCTCAAAGATGAATTCAATAGCATTGTCTTCTAAGATTACGTCCTGTGACTCTTGGGAAGTTGTTGGGTTTGAAGTATTGATGTTTATAATTGCATCTCCACCAAAAGGGGTCTCAAGACCTTGTACACTTTTATTGGAAACAATAGACATAAGCAAATCATCAAGTGGTTCCTTTTTTGCTTGGTTGTCTGGCAGGCCACCTCCAGTTTTATAAATTTCCCGTCTTTCAGCAGCTACTGATTTTCTCAATAGTTTTTTCCTGTTTTCATAACATCGTTTTAAGCATTCCACAGCTCTTGGGCAAGAGGGCCCCGCACTGTTATACTCCTGTGCTATTTTTTTCCACATGTCTTGTTTTTCACTGCTTGTAACCGCATCAGTTTTTTTATTTTCTATTATAGTTTTATATTTTGCAACAATATTAATTAAAAGGGCTTTATCATTGTTTGTAAAATTAGCTGATCTCTTTTTATTTGTGAATGCGATGTTAGTGGATCCATTTTCTTGAATCAAGCAATGCAATTAGCACAAAAGAACTTCCAAATATAAAGGGTCACTGCTTCGATTAATTAGATTTGGAAAAACTCAGCAGCAGAGAAAATAAAATAACAAATAATTCACTTTTTAGTTTTTAGGATTCTAGATTTTAGGTTATATTTTCTTTGACATTTGACAAATTTTGAACATGTTCGCCAACCCAAACGAAAAAAATCCTATAAATTACTAGTTTAATCAAACCGAGCTTAGTTCTGTGCCGTGCAACGTAAGGTCAAGTAATCGGGGTTTATTTTTGAATCTCAGTTTTATTAAACTTGGATTAACAGAATATTGGTGCAACTAGCCATAAACCTACCTATATTTTTTTCTCATTATAGTACTTATAATGGGATCTCATTATACCTACTACTTAGTACTCTAAACTCTAATGAAATCGCATTAAATTAAAGTACTCAATCCAATAAATTATGTCATTTTGACACTACAAATGAGATCCATAATAATGTCATTTTATTATTATTATCATTAAAGTCCATGAACTTCACGTCGATGTTGATTATAATTACTTTGAGTCGAAAATACTTTATCGCATTCAAAGCAAAACACACCCATTTTGAAATAGTATTCATTCGTATTCGCGCTCTCAAAAAAAAATAGGAACAAATCGTACACAAATCAAAAATACAAGCAATAAGCGAGCTACTGAATACAATATACAATAGGGCTGTTCACACAGCAATCACAAATCAGTCAGAGCGAACTTCATTGGTTGAAAACAATCAGAAACAGTCAGAAAACTAGTTTCAACCAATGAAATTCGCTCTGACTGGTTTGTGATTTCTCTGCGAACAGACCTAATACTACTAGCTTTGTTTGTTTATTTGCACCAAAGAGATCAATGAAGAAGACAGACTGACAGAGACAGCCAAACTTGGCTCAATGGGGTGGGCGGGCACGCGCCTAGCATCGAAATCAATTTGGCAACGTTGGATCACAGTCCTATGTTTAGCCGCCAGTTTGCTACTGTACCCATTTGCTAAAAATTTGCAATCAGAGCACAAAGGAACAGGTATCAACTAAATATGGGCAATATATTGGTGTGTTTCTATCCACTTTTTCGTCAATAATGCCCATAAAAATACTAAATTGCAACAATACACAATGAAAGCAATACACAGAAACACATAACCCAATAACAAAATAGCACCATACGCGACGTTGCCGTCATTTCCAATTTCATGGTTTGTTAACTATAGGAGGCTGTGCCAAGACGCATTCTCTCCTTATAACATCACTATTTATGGGATGCTTAGATTTTGATTTTGTTGCCTTTTCAAAATTCACGGTGTGTTCGTGATTCTAACATTTTTGTAAAATAAGAAAAAAGAAAATTCAAAGATAATCAACTCTTATTTTATTTTATTTTGATTTTTTTTGGTAGAACTATCACATATAAAATAATACCTCTTAACCCTTAATTCTTATTTTAATTTATTTCCTATTTTATTTTATTTGTTGGATAAACTCGCCATAAAGCTGGATTTATAGTGTCAGTATCAGTAACAGTAGCAGTAACAGTAAAATATTAAAACACGGCCTACTGTAAAGCCATTTATAATTCACTTAACAAACTTAACAGTAAAACTTAAGAAATGGTTATTTTCATATCTGTTCTTAAGTTTTAAGTTTTACTGTTACTGATACTGACACTATAAATCCAGCTTACTCCCAACAATAATATTTACAATATTTGCCTTTATTATTGGTTAGAACATAAACATAACACAAACGCGCATCCGGGGCAAATTTTATCTTACTATTTTATGGGATGCAAAAGTGTGCGTCTGGGTGTCGTCAGGTAAAAATCTACTGACAATCTGAACGGCTGGGTAAATTTTACCCAAGGCAATCTGAACGGTCAGAGCGCGCTCGGGCGACAACCGACGTTCAATCTGAACGCAGCCCAGGGGTGCGTTCAAGGACGGCAATGTTAATGCCAAAACCTACTTTTCCCCTTCCACCGGTAATGCCAAACCACATAGGTTGGAGCCGAACTCGAACGCAAAATGCCAATTTTGGCTTGGCTGTAGCCATTCCTGAACGCAGCCCAGGAGTGGTTAGGTTACGGAACGTTTACCGGAAAAACCAAGAATCTTGGTTAACTTACGGAACGCCGCCTAAAGCTTAGTCTCCATGGACCCGAAATCGCGAATTTTTTTTTGCGGATATTTTCCGATTGGTTGGAATTTGACATTTAACATTTGATTTTTTTATGGCGGGAAAAATTCGCGAATTTTTTAACTTCTTGCGGCGTCGCAAAAAAGTTAACTATTTTTTAACTTTCCGCGAAATTTCGACAAAAAAAAATGAGGTTATGTGGTGTTACTTTCAGTTTAGTTTTGTTTATGTTTTTGTCGGTATGTGCTCTGTTCTCTGTGAGTCGTTGATGTGTTTTGTACTTGTAGATACCTAATAAAGAATGGATACTGCCAAAGAATTGAATATTGTAGACCCGAAAACAGACATAAATTACAGCTTGCTGGTCGATGAGGAAGATTATAATAGGGCCTTAAATGTAATTAAGACAACACCAAGACACATTATCTTTTTTTGTTTTTTAGTAATCACTTTCATGGTTTTCAAAGATTAGTGTTTGAAATTCAAAGCATTTAAATCAAATTCAAATTGATTACAAACAACAACACATAACCTTAACAAGAGGCGATTTTCAACCAGAATGATTATTTATCGGTAAATACCGTGGTTATTCTTTTGGTTGACAACTTTGACAGCCAAGTGTGACGTCATAGCCCCCCACCATTCAAGAATCATAACCCAAGGAACTAATCGCTGAAATGATTTGGTTATAGCAGTGTAGAAATATGTTTATTATTCTTATTTGTTTTTTCGTTTCAGCAACAGATTTTTGTTCAGGTACAAAAAATGGAGCTGAATCTCTCGTTAGTCTCGTTTATCGAACAGATTTTCTTTGGGGATGATCTAAACCTCGATCTAAACATGGTGAATTGCAATGAGTGAGTGAATGTATACTTCTTTTATTGTGCCAGGCTACAACGCAACTGCAAAATCACAAAACACCAATACAAATTCCAAAAATAACAACAATAACATCAAAAAGCTGTAACCAAAAGATTAACTCAAGTCCAAAGCTGGGTTATAATCGGTTATAAATGGTAAATACCAAAAGCAAATCAGCTGATATGTGACGTCACAACTTCCCCTACTTTGGTTAAAACCGCGACGGCGGAAATGCATTGGTTATAACCAAATAATAATCATTCCAGGCTGAAAATCGCCTCTGTTAAATAAAACGCGAATTTCGCGCTTATGGAGACATGGGAATAATTTGCTCCGAAGTAGCCACCAAAAAATGACACTTAAAAAATTCGCTTTCCGCGATTTCGCGTCTATGGAGACTAGGCTTTAATGTGAATTTTTATCTGACATGACAAGGAAATGACAGTGGATCGTCAACATAGCATAACCTCACATAAATTTTATTATCATCAACATCAACACCAAATAGCAATACAGTTTCAAATTTTAATTTTATTGAAAGTATTTACTAAATAAAAAGTGTGTAAATAAAATGCCGAAAGTACGAAGAAGCAAAAAAGCCCCTCCGGAAGGTTGGGAGCTGATTGAGCCCACTTTGGACGAATTGGAGCAAAAAATGAGAGAAGGTGGGTTGGTTGAAACGTACCTTACGCTAGCTCCTAAAATGCCAGCTCCTAAAAATTAGTACATAATTCGGGAACGCAGTCGCTTCTGTGAAGCTGGCTCCTTGGCTGACTGTTGATTATTTTATTGAATATTTTTCCGAATATTTTTGATTATTATAAGAAAAATCGAACTATATAATAGAAAAATTACCATAAAATAAACACAATAATAGTATATTATATACCTAGGTAGAGAAGTTGGTCCTTATATACCGAGCGCTTTTATAAACCGAGGCGCTCGCGCCGAGGTTTATAATGAGTGAGGTATATAATGACTTTCTCTACCGAGGAATATATAGAATTTTTTTTACTACTGCTAGTAGAAAATGAAAAATTTGTTTAAAATCTGTGCTCCAATTATTTTTTTTGAACCCCTCTTGAAAGTGCTGCCCTCTATCAACAGCTTATGATAACTTCCTATGTACCTACAGAAACCTGTATTTTTTTTTCAAATTGACGTATGGAAATGAAATTGAACCAATCAATAGAAACATGACAATATCCTTGCGTCATGACGTCATTTTCATTATTAACCTAGGTATTTTTTCATTATTTTCATTATTCACCTAGGGAGAGAAATTCAATTTTTTCCTAGAAAAATAGATTGAATAATGACAATTTCTCAGGTTAGTAGTAAAAAAACACAATTTATTTATAAGTATCATTATTTTAGAGGTTACGTTGAAATAATAATAAAGAATAGGAATGTGCACGTAATCGACGTCCAACTTTCTTAATATGCGGAATTTAAAATTGAAACTTTCGGGATACGTAAAAGGCCACTAGGGCTACTTAAATTTACCCTCAAACTTGGGTACATACGCAGGCTTTATGAGAAAAAAATTAATTTCAATTAAGGGCCTAATTAGGAGCTGAGGCTGTACCGCCCTTATTGGCAGGATTCTCAACATGAAATTTTTAGGGTAGATGGAGGGTCCATAGGGCTACCTAAATCTACCCTCAAACTTGGGTTACATACGCAGGCTTTATGAGAAAAAAATTAATTTGGATTTAGGGCCTAATTAGGAGCTGAGGCTGTACCGCCCTTATTGGCAGGATTCTCAACCTGAAATTTTTAGGGTAGATGGAGGGTCCATAGGGCTACCTAAATCTACCCTCAAACTTGGGTTACATACGCAGGCTTTACGAGAAAAAAATTAATTTAGGTTATTTTTACGATCTCCAAGTTTTTGTTTTTTGTGTTGTTTTTAATAATTCTGGCTGGTCCGTTAATAAAGAATTTGAATTTGAATGAGGTTAAATGGAAATTTTGTATCACCATTCTATCATTTTAGTCAATGTGAGGGCGTTTTCGGTCATACGATTTTTTGTATAAATTGTATAAAATGTATAAAACTTGTATAAATTCTATTTTTATTAACAAATTTATTCAATAGTCTGATTAAAAATTTTGCAAAATATTGTTCATTTTCGGTTGCATTAAAAAAAATACCATAATTTGCCATATTCCTATCACGAGCTTACTGATAAATAAATATTTAAATACATCATCATTTTTTTCAAATAATTCTGTAGTTTATATTAATTTTTATTGTTTTGTCCATAGCCGAAACAGAAACCCACGAAGGCAAGCGCAAAAACGAATCTCTCTGGCCCATTTTCAAAATCCACCATCAGAAATCCCGCTACATCTACGACCTATTTTACCGAAGAAAAGCCATCTCCAGAGAATTGTACGATTACTGTTTGAACGAGAATATCGCCGATAAAAATCTGATGGCCAAATGGAAGAAACAGGGCTACGAGAATTTGTGTTGTCTGAGGTGCATTCAGGCTAGGGATACGAATTTCGGTACGAATTGTATTTGTCGAGTGCCCAAAGGAAAATTAGAGGAGGTAAAGATTATAATGCAATAAAGTTTTTTGCAATTCAACTTATGAAATCATGAAGTTTGAGACAAAAAGATACTTATTGTATAAAACTAATTCCTGGTTTACTTTTCAACTAATGATTCATTTTTTTAGGGAAGAATAGTTGAATGTGTGCACTGTGGATGTCGTGGATGCTCTGGATAAGTTTGAAAAGAGGATTACTTTAACTTTGGATTACATATATACATATAAGGTATAAATATTTGTAGATTTGAAATAAAACAATGTATCAGAACTAGAAATAGTCAATGTTATTGTATGTACAATAATTTTTTAGCAGTTTCAAAATAAATAACAATCAATTTTCCAAACAACAAACAAGCTTAAATAGTAATTATTCTTAAGAACTTAAATTATAACTACATACTATCAATAAAAAAAAAATTATTTAAAACTAAAAATCACTCTGTACTTTTTATTATATCACTTTCATTTATCTTGACAAAAGTTGTTTTTTTTTTTTGATAAATACTTAATATTACAACTTTTCTTAGGACAAAATAAAATGGACACCCTGTATGCTTAAGATAGTTGGTGCAAAAAAGCTCAATTATTTTGCTTAGATTGATACAAATAAATAAATAGTTTAACAATGTGAGCTTTTTCTCTTAAATAAAATCTCTTCTCTTTTAATAATAATAATTATTATTGTACTTTAAACTTTTCTTTGATTTGAACAGCAAAAGGTGGTAGAACAATTGATAAAGTTTTTAAAGCGAATAAACGGAATTAGGGCCTAAATTTATTGCCTAAAAGGACAATTAATAATTGTCAAAACTAACCTCACCTTTCTTGAGGTATTCTCGTGCCTCGAAGAATTTTGCTATTCTGGAACAAAAATTATTATTGTTTATTTATTTGATTTTATCACTATTTACATTTTTATATAATCTAGTTAATTGTTCTTTTTTTGCTAATGATTAAACACACTTTGTTAAAATTTAGTTTTCCTTCTGATCTGATAATACCCTGATTTTGCTTCAGATTCTTTACTCTTGTGTCTTAAATATTGTAATATTTCAAAAGTAAAACATATGCCTTTTTCTTGATACTCACTTGGTACTGTTGCTCGTTGTCGGTCATCCCAACAACGGCGACAATCTGGTACTGGCGCGCCTTCATAGCCGCCTCACTCTTCCTCAACAGACGCAACTGGGTGTTGCTAACGTCACCTAGTTGAGCCATCTGTTGAGGCGAGTGACTGGGATCCAGCACCAAAAGTACCAAGCTGCCGTCTCTGTGCACTTCGATGCCCATTATTGTCCTGCTATGACCTGAAATAATTGACCATTTAAGTTTCAAATGGTGATAATTCTTTTGTCATTAGTGAAAACATCAATTTTTATACTTACCCACAAATAATTATCCACGTTACAACAAAAATATTCAAGAGGAACTTACCTTGATGTTGTAAGTAGAGAGGCGGAGTGAATTCGCCACCAGCGCCGTTCTCGAAATACGACAGCACCCATTTAAATAGTTCGGGATGAGTGCCGCCAGGACCAGTGGGCCGATGAAAATCGACCAATTGGCACCGGATGCGCAGAAACGACATTAGCGTTACTACTTCGGTTGCCCCGATCCATTTTCTCGTATTGACCAGTCGGCCGCCTAATTGTTCAGAGCCCTGAAAGGAAATATTGGAATTTATTTGTTTTACAAATTACATTCATCACAGCAGTAGATATTTTACATGTGAATTTCATATTACGACAGGGTTTGAGTTAATGGGATTTTGCATAGTTGTGAAAGGTGTTAAAATGGTGCTTTATAAATTTCATGGCTAGACTTGATGTCTAAGTATGATTTATCGAATTTATTTACCGAAGTACTGAGTACTGAATACAAATATTTGGGCATGAAAATCTCACATTAGGGAACCCTAGACGAAGCAATTAAAGACCGGAATATACAGGGACGCAAGGCAATATCCCTACTAAATGGTGTACTGTGGGACCAAAATATCAACAAAACTAGAATATACAACACCATAGTCAAAAGTAGGGATGTACCGGATCGGGTATTTGGCCGATCCGGCCGGAACGGGAATTCCGGCTCCTAAGCGGACCGGACCGCCGGAATTCCGGCCGGATCGACAGTTTTCTGCAATTTAATAATAATTTGAAAGGGCGCATTCTTTTTTTACCGGCGAACCTACAGATGAGCAGTCTATCTCTTTCTAGTACATAGGAAATCAAGATGACTTACTCATAATGGAGAATAGCTCGATGGAAAAAAAGAAAGCGGCTGAAGTTTGAGTTTGGCTGCTCCTTCAAGTAGATTGGCGAATCCTTATAATGAGTTAATGTCTGTCCTAAATCTTGAAAATCTGAACCAGAGGCGACAGTTTTTTGATATGTGTACTTTGTTTAAGATTGTTAATAATTCTATTGATTCTCCAGACTTACTTGCTAGAATTGGCTTACATGTACCATCTAGCAATTTAAGAGGAAACACATTGTTTAACCTTGATTTTCGTAGAACCAATTATGGTTACCATTCACCTTTACTTAGAAGCTGTCGTTCTCTGAATGATATTATTTTGAAGACTGATTTGGATGTTTTTAACATAAGTTTGGATAGATTCAAAAGAATTTTAAAGTCGATCCTAAAATGATCGTTTTTTCTATTTGTATTCAATTTTAAGCGTATTATGTTGTTTGTGTTTTGATACCTACTACAAAATATTTGTTTAGGCTTATGTAATGTTGTTTTTTTATACTAACTTGTCTGTTGCCTAAGTTATATCCCGTGAGAACTCCAATTCAGCATTTATATTGTTCTATTCAGCTTATTTTTAATATTATAAAAGGAGTAATTTCTAGATTTAAGTCAGTTCTATTGTATTAGTCAAATAAAGTTTTTTTAAAAACGCTCTCTCGTGTACACCCCTCGTAAGTGGCGCAGTCGGTAGGATTTTGACGGAGACTTCGGTAAAAAACAGTCCGGTTCAGTCGAAAATTTGGATTTTGCGGGCCGTAAAAAACCATCGTCTTTTCGTGCTAACGATTTACCGTCAAATCGAAATATACGTTCGTGGTATACGAAAGACTTTTGACAATCAGTGAACTCGCGACCAGGGATCGGAACAAAAATCGTCCATTAATCCTATTGGTGCGGATAGCGGAACTACATCGTCCAAAATCCATAGAAGATAAATGTACTTCAAGATCAATCTGATATTGCTGTAAGTGATCCCATTATTCTTTTCCTTTTATTTTTATATTTTTTGATTTTATTGGTATATATTTGTTCGATCTGGAAGGTGATAACGAGCTTGACAATCTTATAAACATTTTTAACAATAATTTTCAACCTAATAATCAGATTCAAAATCTTGTTAATATGGCCAACCCAAATTATCAGCTTATTAGATACCAAGCCGATAATATCCCAAATTTTGATGGTAACACCAAAACACTTGGCAGATTTTTAACATCATGTGAACATTTTCTACAGAATCACCAAAATCGACAAAATGCCGCAGATCCAATAAACATCTGTTTGTTCGATACGGTAATTTGTAAATTGACAGGTAGAGCTGCCGAATTAATTGCTTCTCGCACGGAACTCGATACCTGGCAGAAAATTAAAGATTCGTTAATTGTCACATTTTCTGACCAAAGAACTGAAGATTGTCTTGTCCAAGATATCATTAATATGAAACCAGATAAGAACGAATCCTTACATTCTTTTGGATTAAAATTGCAAGATTCTAGAAGTTTGTTATTTGCTAAAATTAATAGCTCAAACGATCCTAATAATATGAAAATTCTAAAAATCGAACAATTTGATAATCTGTGTCTAAAAACTTTTATTAACAACTTAAATTACCATATGCAGTTAGTGGTAAGATTAAAAGACCCAGATTCTCTTGAACAAGCTCTCGCATTTGTACGAGAAGAAGAGAATTTCATACAATATAGAAACAGGTCTAATCAAAGCTCAAGAAATATACCTAATAACAACGTCAATAATAAAAGTAAGCCTCAATCAAGTTTTAACAATACACTTGGAAATTATGCTGCTAATATTCCAAGAATGCCTATAACACCATTCACTAATAATCCTTTCTATCGACCAAATAATTCGTTTAACAACCAAAACTTTGCAAGACCTTTCCCAAATATGCCATTCAATAACCAATTCCAAAGACCTCAAAACTTCAATAATTTCAATAGACCATTCCAAAGACCCAATATCACCCAAAACAATAGTGCTCCAGAACCAATGGACACATCGTCTGGTGTCACTATAAGACCAAATACAGTTCAAAGATCTCGCCTGAATAATTTCACTGTGCAAGAACTTTCGAACCAATCCGCAAATACTTTGTCCCCTAATACTATCACCGAAACTCAAACTCAAGACACAAATATCGACGTTAATTCTACTCCCAATAATGACGAACAATTGGATTTCAGTAATTATTACCAAATGCCAAATTCTGAAATGTTCAACTCATACAATGTTCCATATGATTATATGTACAACATGTATGACAACACTAATAATGACTATAATGAAACAAATATCGATGATTCCCAATACCAAAATTTTCAGATTACGCCCAATTACCCCAATGTGACGTAATATGCCTCAACAACTATAGTACTTCAGATCTGCCTGTAATAATTATCCCCGAATTAAATGCTAAGTTCTTAGTCGACACAGGCAACGGAAAAAGTTTCATCAATCCGCAATTAGCATACCAAGTTTACTCTCAATTCATTTCTAATGAATATTTCACTGTAAAAACTGCTCATGCAACATCAATACATGACGAAGTCATAAATATACCCATTTTTCCATCATTCAAAAAAAATGGTTACCACAAATTTTACTTGTTTAATTTCTCTAATAAATTCGACGGTTTGATAGGTGTCGATTTTCTAATCGATATCGGTGCCAAAATAAATCTAAAGAATTTTGCACTCGAAACGTTACAAGTAAATTTACCCTTGCATTTTCAAAACAAATTATTTTTCCCACAAAACACAACGGAGCCCACACAGTCATATGAAACTGTTATACCTCCTCGTGTTTCACAAAAGGTTAAAGTACCTGTAAACAAAACAGATGGAATAGGAATACCAAACCATATTAACTTTGATGATATCGCAGAAATGCCAGAAGCCTTGGTACAAATTGAAAGTAATTTTGCATTGACAACAATTACGAATTTATGTGAAAACCCAATAAAAATTAGTTTCACAGAACCATTTGAAGTAGAACCTATAAACGAAATTGAAAATAATTTTATCGAGGAAATGGAAACCGATATGGATATCGAAGTAAATCAACCAAATGATATGAAACTAAAACAAAATTTGAAGAACTTACGTTTAGACCACTGTAATCAAGAAGAATATCAAACGATTCGAGATCTTTGTTATGAATACCGAGACATATTTTACTGTGAAGGTATTCCATTGACTTTTACGAATCAAATCAAACATAAAATCAATCTTACAAATGAAACACCTATTTTTACAAAGACTTATCGATACCCTGAGATTCATAAGAAGGAAGTCAGCACCCAAATGGACCAGATGTTGAAAAATGGTATAATACAACCATCTAATTCCCCATGGTCTAGCCCAATTTGGATAGTACCAAAAAAGCTAGATGCATCTGGTACAAGAAAATGGAGAATAGTAATTGACTACCGAAAACTTAACGACAAAACAATCGAAGACAAGTACCCATTACCCAACATCTCTGATATTTTAGATAGACTAGGTAAAGCTCAGTACTTTACGACGTTGGACCTAGCAAATGGTTTCCACCAAATAGAGATGGAACCGGACGACGTACACAAAACAGCATTTTCCACCGACACAGGACATTACGAGTTCAAACGTATGCCCTTCGGTTTACGAAACGCCCCCGCCTCGTTCCAGAGGGTGATGAACAACGTTCTTCGTGGCCTCCAGAACGAAATATGTTGCGTTTACTTGGATGACGTCATAATATACAGTAAATCACTCCAAGAGCACATAGAACGCTTGAGACTAATATTTGAACGGTTCAGACAATCAAATTTCAAGATTCAATTGGATAAGTCCGAATTTTTACACAAAGAAGTCAATTACCTTGGACATTTAATAACCAAAGAAGGCGTGAAACCCAACCCAGATAAGATAGAAGCTGTAAAAAACTTTCCTATACCCAAAACACCAAAAGATATCAAATCATTTTTAGGACTAGCTGGATACTATAGAAGATTTATAAAGGATTTTGCTAAAATTGCCAAGCCAATGACATTATGTCTTAAGAAAAATGCTAAAGACGAACATTCCCCAGCATTTTTATCGTCATTCAACCATTTAAAAAATCTTCTAATTAATTCCCCAATCCTTAAATACCCTCATTTCACACAGCCCTTCGTATTAACAACCGATGCTTCTAATACAGCTCTCGGTGCAGTTTTATCTCAATCAACACCCCCCAACGATCATCCCGTGGCGTATGCTTCCCGCACGCTAAATGAAACAGAACAGAGATACTCGACAATTGAAAAAGAATTGCTCGCTATCATCTGGGCATGTAAATACTTTAGGCCGTATTTATTTGGAAGGAAATTTCAAATATATACAGATCACCGACCTTTAGTCTGGCTTTTCA